CGCTCGACAATGCTGAGATTTCGTCAAAAGAAAGAAAAAGGGAAAGTATTACAAAAGCAATCGATTCTACTATAACGTCACCTGCAAAGAAACGAATAACCTTTACTCCCTCCACTATGACGCAAAAAGTGTCTTTCTAGGGCCTCGAAAATGCTGTAAAATGTGTAAACGCGTGATAGGCGCCATTGAATTTGTTTGCAAATCTAGTCAACAATTGCGTTCAATTTCTAACAAAAGATATAGAACTAAATCTACCTGAGCGTTTTGTGAACGCAGATATTGTATATCAAACGCATGTCGATAAATATCGTGACATCGTGTAAAGTGTACGACGCCAAATAAAAAGTTTAGAATTTTTGGATAGCCTTTTGGAAATTGAATTTTATGAATCAACTTCTTTGTATTTCAAAGTAATTGTTAAAACAATTATAAAGAACGTCGTATTTCACAAATGAAATTTTACAAAAAAAGCAAAATTCTGAAAATAAAATGATAGATTTCCTCTTTTAAAATAGTATTTGCTTCTTAATATCTTACAATCTTTTCCCTCCCTTGCTCATCCACTAATAAATTCAATGTGCTATAACTATTTCTCAAATGAGCAAGACAAAAAATTTTCAACTTCAAAGTTTTTTGTTATATCATGTAAAATAAATTTTAAATTTTTTTTAACTTCAAACACGTTTTCTCCGTTATTTTTCGAAATCCTTTATGAAGCGAATCTACATTAAATTTGTGTCATCGTGTTACATGAAAATATAATTAATAATTTTTCCGCGGAGCATGTATACAAAATTTATGATCTGAAAATTAGAAAAAATTTCAGCTTAACCGTTTATTGAAATTTGTCGAAGAAGATGCACTACTTATAATATTACTTAGGATTCGACTTGTTTACGGAGCCGATACATAAAAATTTACGATCTACATATTAAAAAATCTCATACATAAATTTTACTAAAACCTTCCGAGGTACGCGCAGTAGTATATAATTTTACCTGACAACGCGAGGGTTTTCCCACTCTAATGTGCGTTACTTGAGAATATGCTCAAAGATCTATTCAGCCATCGATGTATAAAAATTTTCACGAGGTAGGAGTTAAAAAAACGTTATCGTTGTCACTTACCTGACAATGTCTACGTTTTCCTTGCAAGCCACTTCTTTTTCATATAATAGCTGGCATGCGTGACTTACCAAAATTCGAAACGCGCGCTGCGAACGCCCTATTACCACGATACATCAATGTTGTCACCTGGTTGATTGGCCAAAATTCGAAACCCCCGCAGCGAGAGGTCTATCACAACGATGCATCAAAGCTGATAACTTGCTAAATAATAAATGTTGTAACCTTTTTTCCTCACACTAAATTTTTTTTCCATAACGGCCAAAAACTTACTGTATAACTAATCGCATTTTACCCTTTAAATAAAATTGAAATGTGTTTTTAAAGAAAAAACGTTTTTATCCCTTTTCCGTGTTTCATTTTTCTAAGTCATTTGCAAACATAAGAGAACATTATTTCTGGCATTGCCGTTTGATGAAACTTATCGAGACATTGGCCTTACTCGAAAATATGCTCAGGTATCTATTTTCCTATAGGGTCGGTATAAGAAAAATTTTCACGAGGTAGCGACAATAGAATCTTTATCGTAATCACTTATCTGACAACGTTTACGTTTTCCCTTGTGGACCTTTCCTTTTTGTATGGCTGACCCGCGGCTGACTAGCTAATATTCTAAACACGTCCTGAGAACGGCTAATCACAACGATGCGCCATAATAAACACCGTGTTAGACACATTAAATGATCCACTCTCTTTTCTTTACACTAAATTCTTGTTCCAAAAAACTACAAGCAAAATATATAACTAGACACATTTTAGTCTTTAAACAATTCCTCTGTACCACGGCCTGCAAAGAAGCACAAAACCTACATCCCATCCATTGTGACGCAGAAATCATCTTTTAACGGTCTCGAAAATAGGAAATGTATAAATGTTCTATACTAATTCTATATCAATCTATATTAAGTTCTATATTAATTTCGCTTGGGAATCTCGTCAGCGAATGCTCTCGATTTTTGATCACAAAAATATAATTAAATCTGTCTTTGTGTACTATTGGTGAAGATGTGGTGAAATGAATGCTTCTCAATAATAATCAGAAATCGCGCAAAATATGCGTCGACAAATAAGAAATTTAAAATTTTTGGACAATTACTTTGAAATTGTATTTCATGAACTAGTTTATATTTATTTTAACAAATTTGTTAGAACCATTATTATAAATGCTACAACATAACTTTTTAAATAAAACTGTAATCCGCTCATATTTAAACGGTTTTTACTTTTCTTTACTTCAATCTCTCCCTTACGCAAGAAGTAACAAATTCAAAAATGTTTTCTCTCTGATGTTTTCTTTTGTGTCATGATTTTCTTTTATTACAATCTTGATAGAAAATTGAGAAATTTACATATATGCTATATAATTCATACATTCGAGAACATTCGGTAACTTTCGAGAGCAATCGAGAATATTGGATGACTTTCGCGCATATTCAAGAACATTCTTTCCAGCATTACTGCTTGACGAAACTTGACGAAACATGAATGTCAATGCCTGAAAATATGCTCAGGTCTATTTTTGTCATAGGTTCGGTGTACAATCAAATTTTTTATTATAAAAACCAAAGAAACCTTATCGTAGTCATTTACATGACCGTTAGCCCATGTTTTCTCTGCTTATTCGCTCCCTTTTGCCCCACATCCGACGTGCTGATGAACGGCCAATCAAATCATGCACCATACTTGAACATCGGATGACACTTCCGGCCAAAATTCAAAACTCCGCCGCGGACGGCCAATCACAACGATGCAGCATAGCAGACACTATGATAAAAAATAAATCCCGCCCTCCCTTCCACCAAGTTCTCTCTCCACCGCGTCAACCCTCTCTCTTTCGCACCTGCCCCTTGCCCTCGTCATTGTCTCGTCAGTCCGCACCTTACCAGCGACCAGTCAAGACGGTGGAGTCTCATGTCACATATTTTCTTTGTTAAAATAAGAACTCAGTAAATACAGAATAAAACTTTGACCTATTCTTCCCTACGTATACACTTCTCTGCGTATATGGCGTCGGATGCGGGCCTTCGGGGCAGTTTCCGACGCCATACTCCACATACTCTCCTTCTAGAAATTCTAGAAATTCTTGATAAAAAGAAGTCAGGTACACGCGACGATAAAAAATTAACGGAGCCTAGTCCCCACCACCCTTTCACTCCACCACAACCACGCCAGACTACTCCCAACACCTCCCCCCAAAATTAGGCGACGCTCCTGGCGCGAGAGTGGTAGTTGGTGGGTGAATTTTGACGCATTATGGCTGTACCATTACTACTACCGTATATGATTTTGGATGTTATATTTAAAAATAATATCGAAGTTCGGTTATTTTTCTATTTGCGTCAATCGTAAATGTAGATTCTTTAATTGACCGCATATATGTATAACTAATAGTCCGAGGAAGTGATCAACTTGCGGCATATGAGACGCGTTCTCCGGTCATTATGATTCCTTGTGCCATAAACGTTAGCTTAAACTGCGGATTCTTAGATACGTCGAGCAAGTAGTACGATTGTATCAGCAAAGATTTTCCAGAATCGATCATGTTTGACCGTTATTCCAAACCATGGAAATGAGGCACTAGTCGTCATTGACATTATTTTCACGAATATTCCGCATATGATGATCTTGCGAGTGATCATGGCGCCTATCAGCATAATATCTCGTTCCTCTTTCACTTTCACCTTTATCCAATCTTTTTCAATCATATTAATTAGAGATGCTAAAGCTGTAAGAATGAGTAACGAGATTGTATTTTAAAATATATATGCCTTCAGGCCTTTCACTAAATGCATATAAGATTAAGGAACATACTGCTAATAAGATACTTCGTTAAACAATTTGTATATTCTTGTTTATACCATTTGGTGCAGATTTTATACATCGTCATCGACAAAGGTAGACTAAATTGCAAATTATCAATCATTAGTAATATGTCTCCTCATACTCGTATCAGAAATGTTAAAGCCGGCATTATCAGTATGCAGAACACTGTCACCAAGTTTTACTGCAGTTGAAATTTGGATCGTACTCTTTTACAATATCTCGGTTGTTAAACGGCCACAAACCGATAATTATCAACATAATCCAATTACGGTCGATCGCTTATTCTAGATCTGTCATAAGAACATTTTACTTGAGATTTTCTTTAGAAGATATACAAAACAGTAAGAGTTATAATATATAACTTAACACCTTTTAAACAAAAATTAAAATTTATCAACGGAAGTGTGAAAAGTAGAGAAAACTCAAGCGCATTTGGGTTTTTCGAATTAAAAACATGAAAACATTGAAACATTGAAAAGAAATGTTTTTTTTTAATAAAAAAGACAAATAAATCGCCGGGAATTGGCATGATACTTGTGATATAGCACAAAATACTCAGCTATAATTTTTTTTATACAATTTTCACCAAATATTTTTATTAACTTCATACGATCGCTCTAGCGCAATTGAAGATCTGTTAGATAAGAAATACGTAAAATGTAATTATGATACTTTGAAACAAAGATATATCTATATGGATGAAATGTTATTAACTAATAACGACAAAGAATATGATTATATCTGCTTGGCTGATACATTCCAAGCTTTAAAAGAGCACCGGCTTTTACCATTGACGAAAAATCGTCTCCACTTTAGCATCGGATGATTATGACGCATCTTCTCAACGGAATTCTTGAAACGATAAAGTTTCACTGAACCATCGTAAATATTTCAGTAACTGAAACGAGCATGACAAATTATATGGAGATATAGGTTGCGTCAGGTATTTGAGGACATATTGACTTAAAAGCTAAAATTAGTATATTTTTTAGAAAACTTGTTTTATTTTAATGAAACTTTTACAGCAAAATAAATGGCCCATGGGCTATACAGTTATTCGATAAAATCTTCAGCGGCAATAACAGCTTCAATTCTCTGCTGAAAACGTTTGCATGCTCGAATCAAATGATCCTCGTCCATATGCGTCATTACTCTGGTGATAGCTGCTCTGAGGGAATCAAGCGTATTACGGGGATGTTTATTGGTCTCCCATTCAACAACGTCCCATACATAATAATCTAAAGGATTAAGATCCGGGGAGCTAGGAGGCCACATGTTTGGGGTTATATGATCATGCAGATGCTCGGACATCCAATCTTGCGTTCTCATTGCTTTGTGTAAAGGAGCAAAGTCCTGTTGGAATACGTATGCCTTCCCACCACTCACGCTGTCTATCCAAGGCTTCACAACTGTTTCCAAAGCCTCAACGTAGGCGGCGGCATTCACCTGAAGTCCTTGAGGAAAGAAATGGGGTGGCATGACGTGTCCCTCATTGCTCACCACCCCCAAAACCATGACAGTTGCCGGAAACTTTGTGTGCATAACACAAGGAACATCTGAAGGATCTGCACAGAGCAATCTATCATTTAGTTGGTTTATTTTTTGATCCTGATCAAAATTTTTTTCGTCACAAAAAAACCAGAGCATATCCGAGATTTCAGGATGTTTTAACTTGTTTAGAAGTCGTTGTGCCCGAATGAATAGCTGTTCTCGAGTTTGTGCAGACATGAACTGACCTCTACGCATCGCGTAAGACTTGTACCGGATGTCTTCGTGGATAATGCGACAAATTGTGAACTTAGAAACTTGGAGATCTTTCGATATTGCCCTTATGGACTTTGAAGGGTCTTCATCAATAATGCCCTGAACTTTCTGCACAAACTGTGATGTTCTAACTTTATCAGAACGTGCTTCATGTTTTTTACGCTTGGCAACACTCTCTACATTGCCATCAGATGCTTCTAACTCTCGACAAACTTTGTTAACAAAAGATCGGGCGACTTTCAAAAATCGGGAGATTTCAAGATCGCTGTGATTCGCGTGTATAGCGACGATAACAGCGTGTCTTTTCATTTCCTGAGTTAGCTGTATTTGTCTTCCATTTCTAATTTGAGCTAAAAAAAAATAAAAATAATTGCTATGAAGTGCCAAGCACATATGTGAATGTCCTCAAATACCTGACGCACCCTGTATAATCACTTTGTCGTGCTCCGCTGGACAATGAGTGAACACTTGTCCGCTGGACAAGTGAGTGAATTAATTATAATCGCGGGAACGCGTTATGCGAATACTGTCCATCGTCTAAAAAATTTTCTACATTCGTAGCTTCAGGTTCTTCTTCTCATCTTCACTATGTAATTGAATATGAAGGGTTACATTCACGCTTATGCAAAAATTATTTACGTAGCTTTACGGGACATACTAGAGATAGTTGAAAATCTTTAGAGAAACATAGGAACTTATAGTCGTTTTTTTCAATTCTGGTAAGTATTAAGTGGTAAACTTAGTTCCTGCGGCTCACAGTTAGATGACGTTAGTTGTAGGTGTAATTTATTTTGACATCTGAAACTGGCTGCATTTTAGAGGTTAGACATTTGTCAATAAAATTCAGTGCCAAAAGATTCATTTAAGCAAGCAGTTCTATTTTTTCTTTTGATTAAATATGGAACGCGATAAGTTGTTTTTTCGACATGTGCTACTTTATTACTTTGACTTGAAAAAAACTACAGCTGCAGCTCATAAATTGCTTTTCGAAGCTTATGGCAATTATGCTCCATCGGAAAGAACATGCCAAGTATGGTTTCAGCGATTTAAGATTGGTGATTTTGATATCAATGATAAAGAACGCTCAGGCCAACCGAAAAAGTTTGAAGACACCGATTTGCAGGCATTATTGGACGAAAACTGTACTCAAACGCTCCAAGAATTGTCTGCAGCATTAAATGTTACTCCGATGGCTGTTTCCAAATGTCTACATGCAATGGGAAAAATTCAAAAAAAGGGAAAATGGGTATCACACGAATTAACCGCAAATGCCATTGCGAATCGCTTAAACATCTCTATTTCTCTGCTCGCCAGGCAGAAAAAGAAGAGTTTTTTGTGGCGCATAGTGACTGGCGATAAAAAATGGATATACTTCGATAATCCTAAACGAAGAAAATCATGGGTAGACCCTGGCCAACCATTGACATCCACACCAAAGAGAAATATTCATGGCCACAAAGCAATGCTTTGCATTTGGTGGGATATGCACGGCGTCGTTTATTATAAGCTATTGAGACCGAACGAAAGTATCACGGGTGATCGATATCAATCACAATTAAACCGTCTGAATGGAGCATTGTCGGAAAAAAGGCCAGCAGTAGTTAGCAATCGACGTAAAGTCATGCTTTTGCACGACAACGCTCGACCACACGTTGCCAAAGCCGTCAAAGAAACACTGATGCAGCTCGAGTGGGAAGTTCTCCCGCACCCAGCGTATTCACCAGACTTAGCTCCTTCGGACTATTACTTGTTCCGGTCGATGCAGCACGGCTTGGTGGATACACACTTCAGAAATTACGAGGATGTGCGAAAATGGATCGACGAATGGATT